TGAATTGCGTTACACAACAAAACACACCAAATAAGGTCTATGTAGCATTTTTGACAACGTATCACATTGCATATGAGTGAGTTACAGTGTGTTGAGCTGTAATGCAATGCATGTCTGTTGGCAAAATGTGTTGGGTTGCCATTCAGAATATTAATAAATGGCACCACAGTGCACCAATGAGTTAGCACAATACACAGTGATGGTGTCACAGGCCCTAAATGTTCATAGGGTGCACATTGACCTTTTGTATCAATGCTTCATTAAATACAAAAACATGTTTTTAAATATCCAGTGCTATGAGACTAAATTTACTTTAGGAAGGATTTGCTATAGTATAAATTGATCCCCTTGATTGCCTTTTATTGTTAAACCAAAATCTGTAAATAAGGTTCTGTCAAGGAGATTCTTAAGATTTATGGCATTTACTTGGTCACCAACAACACTGATATTTTAGACAGGAATTTTCTTAACTGACAAAGGAGTTAGATAGTGCTCGATGACGAGTAGGGGAGACTATATTGCAGCACTAATTATTTCTGTGCAGTCACAGATTTCATAGGACACAGCATTTACTTTGAGCTAATAATTTGCTTATTGGTTTTAAGTATTAAATAAAAATATTTATGCGTAATATTTCATATTTTTTGTTAAAATGCATGAACCTTTTAGAAATACACATAAATTTGATAATTAAAAAAAAATCTTAAAATAATAGGTCTGATATGATCCCAAGGTAGCCCTGATTTTTCTCTGTTTCTTACATTTTGTACAGAGTAATTTGATCTGTGTTTATTGTGACCATCCGCTGTAAAAAGGAAGCTTTGCATTAAATGATCCACTTAGCAGTTTCTGTATCTAAAATGACCACATTATCAAATTAGAACAAGGGCACAACTTTCTGTGAAGGGAATATAGTTTTACGGTGTTCTGTGCCTTTAACTATAAGGGCTAATCACAGAGGAATTTGTAAAGAGCTCAAATCCCATCATAAAATTCATTGCTCTTGGTATTTGACATGCTGACACGTGATTGAAGTCTCCCAAAGCTGGCCATAGATGGATCAAAAATCATCAGGGACCAGTCGAATTTTGATCCATCTATGGCCCTTCCTGTTTGAGAGGAGTCAACCTAATGATTAAGGTGTCCATTTATGGACCAGCGGTAATAGATCGCTGCTCAGTTCTCCGGCATTCTCGGAGAACACAGTTCTCCTGTGAATGCAGTTTATGAAGCAGTTCTCCGAACGAAGGGAGAACGGTCTCCAAACGTTGGAGAACGGTCTACAAACTCTGGAAAACGGCTCATTTTACTATAATCTCGCGAGATTACAGTAAAAGATCAGTTTACTAAGCAGAGGTAAATTATCTCTGCTTAGTTTTCGGTCCCTCTGATTCTCCAGCTCTGGGCTGGAGAATCTGGAGGGAGAACACAGATCTCCAGAGAAGGGCTGACATGATCTCCTGAGTGTCATAAACTGTGAATGACCAGAGAATAGCTGAGATCTGTTGAATCGCAGCTATTCTCTGTGTCATAAACGGACACCTAACTCTTTCCAAATGAGAATGTTGAGAAATTATGTTCGATCAGTGCTGAAGCTGTTGATCAGTGTATTCTGAGAGAAGAAGAGTCCTCGCTGTCAGAATAAAATAGCGCTGTGGGAAGGATTCCTCTATCCACCTCAAATGTGTGGATGGGGGCACCCTTTCATTCATCTGTGGGAAGATTAGGATATTTCATTCACGTAAGCACACTGTATACCTTGTTTATTTGCTAATGTTAAAAATCCTTAATTCTTGCATGAGTTTTTTAGATTCCGTGACCTACTACTCATCATCTATGAGATGATTACTGAGGAAAGCAGAAAAAAGGGCTATTTTAAATGACCAAAAAAATACCAATTCATGTTCAATCGAGACTTTGAAAAGTTACATGTTCATTTCATGCTGCAAAATTCCATTTCCACAACTGATTGATATTTAAACTATAACTTCAAAGCATTAAACATGTAAAACTATAACTTCAAATTCTGAAGCCTTGTAAAACTACAGGGACATTTTTATAAATCGGTGCATTTGACATATGCCACACTTTCAGAGGCGGCTAATCATTCTCTGTAATTTAAACAAATGTACTGGAAGATTCACCTGCAGTGAATATTTGGTGACTGCCACATCAGTTGCTTTATAAATATCCCCTATATCTTTAAAAATAAATCATGCATTTTAATTAATTTATGCTAAGGTATGAAACGGCAAAAAGTAGACAAACATTTTCATTATATTTGGTGAGTTTAGCAGCTCCACATTTTGAAAGTACATCCTGCTTTTTAATTAGACTTCAGTTCTTGTATAGCCTAAGGTATATTAAAATATTTTGTGCTTAAAGTTCCCTTTACAATGATGATGTTAATTAATATATCATTTAAGAAATATTCCGAGTGGTCCCTTTACATTCCAATTATGTCGTTAGAAGTAATTCAACATTAAACACTACTTAGGTCTCCTAATCAAATACACCTAAAGTAAAATGATCTGAGTGCTTAAAAGAAACTGTTTTGCTCTTTTTTTCATGATTAGCCATACCACATTGAACTTCTGTCTTTGATTCAATACAATGTAAAGATGCAATAGGTTGTTGGAATGTGCCAGACATAAGTGGTCTTTATTGGTAATGAAATCTATGTGGAAATGTTGAACCTGATTAGTCACTTATCCATGATCATAAAGAAAAAATATTGACTGGAAAATAATACACAGTAGGACATTAATCATGTATATTGCAAACTCATGGCAATTGGCACTATTTACGTGGCGTTCAATTACTGTACTTTGGGTAATCAACAGTGGGACATTATCATTGACAACGTTTTTGGCAAGTTAACACATTAAACATCAGTCTTCACACTAGTATTTGTGGTTGTTAAACCTTGCCTGTTTTTTTTTTTTACTTTATTATTTTTTAATAAGAAATGCAAAAAACAATCTTTTATGCACAGCAAAAATCTGCAGTGAATTATAGCACAAAAAAATAAAAAATATTCTCTTAATTGAAACCAACAAAGACCTCTCAACAAAAACATTTTACTTTAGTTGCATAACGATTCCAGTGTTGGTAAGCTTTGCAACACAAATAATCATCCAATGTGTTGTAACGCCAACCTTTCCGCCACCGGACCAGTTAAATGTAAGGTTGCAGTTTTGCAACATAATTTAAGTCTGTACAAGTCCTCAAAGCAATATACTGTGAAGGAAGTACCTGTGCCCCAATTGATGGGCTCCATGTATATACCTTGTTTATCTATACTCCGTCTTCTAGCTAACATATATATATACACATATAGGCTTCCTTAAAGCTTACAGCACCTCATTTCCACCTGCTTTTTTCTTAATGCATGCATTGACACTTAATCCTTCCCTTTGCAAATGCTACATTGCCTTTAAACGCTCCAAAACACATCTACAGTCGTGGATTAAAGGATCAAGAATGTCAGGCTTTGCAATACACTGGCTCTTAAGAAGGGCTTTCATTATTACACACTGCTGCTGAGTCATTATATATTTTGTTACAAAAGGTAGTTCCTGAACTATTTAACTAAGCAGTTCTTCATGCCATGCAAAATTAATAGTTTATGGATGTCTTTGAGGCTTTTCCTTTTGCGTTCGCAGGCATTACCAACCTTAGTGCTTTTAAGAAAAAAAGTCTTTATTGCTTTTGCAACTAGTCACATGCTGGTCTCACGTGTCTGACAATAACCTGTTTCTCCAGTCTCTGAGTGAATTTCTGGGACAAATAGATGATTTTCTACTTTGCTTTCCTCCTGATTATTGTCCTGTTTAATGTCCTCTCCTGCCAGGTAAATGTCCTGAGTACAGTTTTGAGTGATGTTTTTCTGCAGGGAGACTGTATCAGTTTCTGCGGGTACACTGGTTCCTTCGTTCTGCTCCTCAATGCAGTTAGTTTTGATCTCCTCCTGAGTATCATGCTTTGAGCCACATACCTGCATGAAATCATCATCTTCTGTGTCTATTTCTGTAAAGCTGCTTCTCTTCTTTGAAGAAAGTGAAAAAAGTTTTGGATTTCGAGAAGGTGATATGGGAGGTCTTGCAAGTCCACCGGGTGATTCAGCTTTTGCCTGTGTGGGTTCCTCTGAGGAAGAATAGTCTTGCAAAAAAAGTGTGCTTAGCTGAAGATGAGTGTACAGTGGGTGTTCTATCGTGTTGGTCGGCAAGGTACTTGTAATACTTGCTGGATTTTGGAGAGCACTGCTTTTTGCTTGTTTTGAATTTAATCTCTGAGATCTTGATCTGAGAGGGTTACTTCCCTTCATGGAATCCTGATCACTTTCTACCTCATTATTGATCTGATCTTGCAAAAGTATTTTGGGGGTTCCAGAAGGTTCTGACAACTTATACTCAAATGTGACATCTTTTGGAGCAAAACCTGTATATTTTGAGCGTGGCAAGAATTGAGACACTTTGACTTCATGGCTGCCTTCTTCAGGCACAGTATATGAAGGGAACCTAATTTCTAGGTTACTTCCAGGAAATGGTGTAAGGGGGGATCGTTCAGCTTCTGTGAAGTCTGTTGCACAACTGGCAAAACTGTCAATGCTAGACACACTTCTCATATCTGTAATGATATCTTTTGGGGCAACTGATAGCTGGTTCCTCTTTGCTGACACATCCTCCATTTCTATTTCCTCCTCATATGCAGGAGGGATGACAGACTGCTCATGATATGAAGAATTAACACTAGGATGTGACTGTGCTTTTGTGATCTCATTGTACAGCTCCTCTAGCTTCTGGGCACTGAGATGCTGTGGGCTTGATGAAGAATTGTTTAATAGTTCCTGAGAGTCATGTTGACTGACCTCCTGATATTTATTGTCAAATGATTTATTTGAACTTGTCTCTGACATTGTCCTCCGTGCCCATTTCCATCGGCTTGGGGACAAATGATTATCATTACCTTTCTCTATTTTATTAGTTCCGTCTGCAGACTTATCTACAACAATATCGATCAAATTCCATGCTGCGAGCAAATGCATCTTTGAGATTCATGGAAACAATACTTCCATTCCTTTTCGCTCTTTCAAGAGCTTCTCTCCTCTTAATTGCCTTTTCTTGCCGCTTTTGCTCTTTGTAAAACTCAGAAAAATTGTTTACTATGATTGGAATAGGCAGTGCAATCACTAAAACTCCAGCAATGCAGCAGAGGCCCCCAACTATTTTGCCAAGTAGTGTCTTGGGATAGATGTCTCCATAGCCCACTGTGGTCATTGTTATGGTAGCCCACCAAAATGATGCTGGTATACTTGTAAATTTTGTAGCATCTTCATCCTTCTCAGCAAAAAATACCAAACTAGAAAATATCATTATCCCCATGGCTAAAAATAATATCAGTAACCCCAATTCATTATAACTTCTCCTAAGCGTGAATCCCAGTGACTGAAGACCTGTTGAATGTCTGGCAAGTTTGAGAATACGCAATATCCTCATGATTCTGAATATCTGAACCACACGTCGGACATTCTGAAACTGAAGCACACTTTTGTTGGATTCTGTTAGGAAAATTGTTACATAATATGGCAAAATAGCCAACAAATCTATAATGTTTAGTGGCCCCTTAAAGAACTTCCATTTGTTTGGGGATGAAAGAAAGCGCAGGAGATATTCCATGGTAAACCAAGCTATGCATACAGCTTCAACATGTGCAAGCTGTGGATTGTCATTTAGTTGTCCAAACTCATCTGGTTCCTGCAAGTCAGGCAGAGTGTTCAATGATAATGCAATGGTTGAAAGCACGATGAACAGGATTGATATAATTGCCAAGATCTAGAAAAAGAACAAAAAGGAAAATATGTCAGCTGTTTGTCATATGTATTTTCAATGCATTATACGGTAGATTGAAGAGCCATTATACCTTTAATTTACAATATCATTTGAAGCTGTAAGCACTGCAGCTAATCTGAACAGCTGAAGGGAGTCCACACAGGTATAGGCTACAGCCTCTATGAGGTCTATGTGCAGACCCTGGCTCCCTGACCTGCAGATGTCCAGTATTGAGGGGAGATTATTTTAATATTCCTGTATTCTATGGATAAACGTGAAAGGGATAATGCACCTTTAGGTCACATAATTTTTTATCAATTATTTCTGAACCCCCCCCCCCCCCCAAGATTTATAATTGTACACTTTGTACACCAGAATATGCATAAACAACTTTGATTTTTTAATGAAAAATAGATACATTTGAGGTTTTATTAATAAAATCACGTATATGCTCCTCTTCCACTGATTAAAAAGGTCAGTCCTGTAAATCTGTGAGATTGAAGACTTACATTTTCTAGATCTAACATTTGCTGCAGACAGATGATGGATATACATAAAGCAACCCTGGCAGGTTTAAAATACATTCAGATTAAAGGTCCCTGAAATGGAAGAACACTATACTCACTTCTACAGCTAAAGCCTCCATAAACCTCTTTCACATCTGACGCTTCCAGGAGTATAGGATACCTTTGTCCTTCAACAAGTACCTTGGTTCTACCACTACTTCCCCCCCCCTCCCCTTTCCCCTTACTGCAGAACTCAGTAGTGCTGTAGGGGTCTAAGAGTCGAAGGATGAAACCACAGCATGCAACCGGACACATTGGCATCTGACACTTTTAGAAGTGTAGAATACCAAAGCAGCTTATATAAGTGGAAGTGCTGGAATGGAAAGAAGACGGGTGGTAGCCACAGAATTCCAGAGCAGTGAGTATAAATGCCTTTCTGTTGCATGGACCTTTAATCTGGATTTATAATAAACTCGACAGGGTAGTTTTTAGACACAACTCTAGCTAAACTTTGTTATCTTATTTTGGATAGATTAGGAAACAGTTAGAGCTCCTGGTAGAATTTTTTTTGCCATCTGTGTCCCTCTTGGCAAGATTTCCTTTCCCTTCATTTCAGGACAGGAAGTGGTAGGAAATGTCTCCAATGGGGCACAGACAAAATCCATTTTTAGGACAGGGAGGAAGGGATAGAACTTTGGACAATGTGTTGATTGCTGTCCGTGCCTTCTTGCCTGGGTGTCACAGGCACAATAGGAAAGGGGAACTCTCTCTCCAATTAAGTCACAGACAGGAATAACAATATAATGTAAATTTGAATTTCTCCCGCACTATCTAAAACTAAAAAAAATGTCTGGAAATGTTCAACAATAACCATAAAAAAAGAATAAAAAACATATTAACCATAATGTTCATATTTACATATTGTGGGATAGAAAGAACAAATATGTTGATAGGTACAAGGAAACGTAATGAATAAAGAGTCACTAAGGTCTTATTGTAATTAAAAACAAAACAAAAGAAAAAACAGTGCCTTTCTGAAAATAGCACATTTAGCATAGTAAAGTACGTTCCAATTTTCCATTAAATTCAGCACCAATAGACTCTATTACTACAGCATATAACAGATCAAACCCAACTGGTTTAAACCTGTACAGATCCAGCAAAAGTAGGGAGTCTGTAGAAACATAGCTTACATGTACAGAGATTAATTGCATTATTTACATGTATTATTGCAGCCTTGTGCCTGCTGGGGAAGCTTAAAACTCCGCAGCAGCAGAATGCTAAAATATAAATGGCAGATCAATAGCGTCTACCGGATTTGTAAAGTTTAATAACAGCAGCACATACAGAAATATGACTAAGCATTGTAATAATATAATTAAATGCAGCGGGTTTCTGGAGTTAGGTACACGATGTTAGGAAGAAATTAAAAAAAAAATACTACTGGAAATATAAAATAGATGAAGGTTAAAGAAGAGCTCTGTCATATTGACGCCTTACTTATAAAATATCCTATGCAACTAATCTTTGTTCTGTGTCTCTCATGCTTTAGGGCTCATTCAGATGAGTGATAAGTCCCATCCTCTCTGCAAAGCCGGTAGCAGAGGAGTGTGCATCCACCTCGGAGCTATGTGCAGGCAGCCAATAGAAGTGGATGCACATGCAATGGCTGCATGAACACAATCGCATGTCAAAATCTGACATAAGGGCAGGTGTGGGTGCATGGATCGGAATGCACAGTGTTTGCTTCTGGATCCGTGTAGCTGCTCCTGTTCGCATGTCAAATTTTGGCATGCGGTTATGTATGTGAGGCTGCTACATGTGCATCTATTGGCTGCCTGCACGCAGCTTCAAGGTGGGTGCGCACACCAACGGCTCTGCACAGAGGATGGGACTATTCGCCTGCCTGATTGAGCTCTAATTTCTACTTGTAGACATAAGAGTGGGACCTCATTTTGTGAATAAGCTATTTATTTTCTAAGTAGTCTGCACTGAGACTGCTTTACTTAAGGATTTGAAAATGTTAATGCAAGAAAATGTTTGAAGAGCAACTTCAATTACCTATAGCACCCTCTAGTGTGCTAATAGTGTTAGTGTAACTGTGTGAATCTGTAATTAGGTCAAGCTACTGCAGGTCAGGCTGGGTCACTCAGCGAGTTGGGTCTCTATCGCCTCCACCTGGTTTTGGAGGACCATAGAAGCTTCCAGAAGCCAATGGGCGGAAGGGGTGGAGAACTAAATCTGTATGTTTATGGGAGTATAACCAATCCCAGGCTTGGAGGCCCTGCTAATGTGGTGAGGCTAACCCATAAATATGGGAGAGTCAGACTAGCAAGGAAGTCAGGTGGAAGATGGAGTGCCGAGGAGGCTGTCGGTGGCCTGGGAGGGGTCCGTTAGGTCCAGGAGGGCTTTGGCGTCCAGGCTGGGCACAGGCTTGCTCAGAAAGATCCATTCAGCATCACAGTATGAACAGGATCATTGCCTGGCAGCAGTGGGAGCCAGGAGGACAGAGTGAGTACATCAGCACACCCAGGGATTCACAAGGGGAGAGACTGCCACTTGCAACAAGCTTTCAAAAGACAGCGTTGTGCTTAATCCTTTATCCTTGTCTTGGGAGATCTTCAGAGCAGCCAGGAGGGCTGGTAGTATCTTCAGGCTGTGGAACTGGGAGCAGTTCCACAGGGGAGAGGAGATACCTCTGCATGTAGATAGACTAAATCTGAATATTTATTTGCTTAGAGTTGTTTCAAATACTAATGGGCAGATTTTCTAAAACTGGTGCACACAGAATCTGATGCAACTGTACATAGTAACCAATCAGCTTCTAATTTCAGCTTCTTCAACTAAGCTTTGACAATAAAACCTGGAAGCTGACTGGTTACTATGCACAGCTGCACCAGATTCTGTGTGAACCAGATTTAGTAAATCTCCCCGTTAATATCTTAGCAGTTTTCATAGATGGGCTTTGCACTCCCTCCTCCTTTCAGATCAACCTCTACCAGTATCTAGCGGCTGGTTTGATAGGTAAAGGTGACTCTCGAGTCATAAGGGGAAGAAATGTGCCAGTTTTAGTATATTTCCCCCAAATGCTCCAGAAAACAAACTAATATTCAGGTAGGTTTTACATCGATTTTCTCTATGCTTTCCAAAGCTAAAAAAAAAAAAAAGCCTTTGTAGGCTTCTACTTTAAAGGATAAGTTCAACTTTTGTAACTTATTACAAAAGGACCGGCACCTGCTCCCCCCCAATCCCATGTAGTTACAGCTATTGGGAAATATTCTCCCTCCACTAGCTGTCACTAGCTGTTTTTTTAAAAAAAAAGTGGCTGTGTGGGGCTCTGCCTGCCTGGGCGCATCACTTATTCACAGTATTCTGTGAATGAGAAAACTATAAGTTCCGACAGCCTTTGCGGCTGTCAGCTTGTAGTCCTAAATGAACTACCACGGCACTGTGGAGCGCTGTGGAGCATTGTGGTAGTTCACTGATTCTTCCTGTCAAAGTGTATCTGCTTGCCCGTATGAGGTAGGAACACACAGATACACTGACAGGTCTGCAGGAGTCCTGCATGGTACCAGCGATCTACTGATTGCTGGTACAATGCTTTCCAGGCTCCCAAAACAAAAGATACTAAATGCACATATTTTTTTTACCTGCAAAAAATGTGCATTTATTATTTTTTAATAAAAGTAAACTTATCTTTTAAAAATCGGCCCATACTATTTTTAGCTCACAGTGGTTCCTGTGATGACCAGTAGATGGCACTGGCCTATTTTACTTACAAAAGGCAAAAAGGTTGACATTGTTTCAAAAGTCAACAGAATCTCACGAATGTACTAATAACCAAAGGATAAAACAACAACCTTCAAGCCTTAATATATTTATCAGCATGCATTGATTTGACTTGCTATTATAGATTTGCCCAAGCATTTTAATAAAACAATCAATAAATAAAGAAAGCCTTCTGGACTGTATTCTGAATATTGATAAAAGAAGCAGCCTAGTAAATGGCAAACAGAAAACCCCAGGGCTTTGTTCTTCGAGCTGTGGATGTGATGAAAGTGTTCCCCTGGGCTGCACACCAAAAGGAACAGTCTCACCTGGCAGCTCGGCATATGCTTTGTTGTGTTTGCTTGTGCAAACTAACTTTACATATCCATTCTTACCTCCCCACCAATTTCCCAGTGAAATCATCTGTTTGCCTACTAATGCGTAAATAAAAAAAAAAGAATTCATCAATTGCTTCTGATGCCTGCAAAGGATGCAAAGGATAGGAATTCCCTCTGAATCAGAGTAAACTAATAAACGTATTTGCTATTTTAATAAATCAATGCAAAGAGCAGAGATGATGTACAACCAAACAATTCATTGAAATATAGTAGAATAAATGAAATATGACATCTAGATGCCATGGGATGTTGTACTTTTCACATCTCCATTGCATTCTGTTTTGTCTCTCTTATTAAATGACTAATTGTCGTCATACATGCTTTGATAAAT